TAATATATACCGTCACGATTTGTCGTTTGAAACATGCCATCCCCCAAGCTCGTCGATAAAAAAAAAAAAAAAAAGCAAAGACCATCGCAGTGGGCTTGGAGCTCGTTAAACATGAGAGAGCGTGCCAGTCGTTCTCGTTAAAACTATCACAATTAACGTGCTCTGTCCCCGTAAACTTTCCACTCCCGACCACCGTTGTACATAAAATCGGCAGGCCGGGACCCCCCGTGTATATATACACTCAGTTGCCCGTCGCGCAGTGTTTTGCGCGTAAGCGAAGAAATTTCACGCCAACTGGGCGTAATACACAGAGCAAGTGCTGTCCCCCAACTTATTCAATTACAAGCGAATTTTACGCGCTGGAATGTCCTTTGTCGTGCGCTGCGCGCGGGGCGACCTCCGCGAGCCAATCAAAGTTGGGGAGGAAGCACTTTACCGTTCCGACTCCGCGTGCGCGTGTACATGTAGGGGGGGGGGGGAGAGTTTTTGCCGAGCAGTTTGACAGATTCGCAATTAATGCCGGCTACTGTCCGAGTTAATGGTATATCATGGCTGTGTCTGGGGGGGGGGGGGGGGGTGCGTTTTGGGCCGAGAGGTGCTTTTACCGGTGTTTTGCGACTACCACGTGTGGCCCACTCGTCCGAGAGATTAGAACTTGTACTCTGTCGATTGTTTGCGCTAACGAGGTTGCTGCTGGAAATTCACGTCAAGTGGCTGCTGCTCGGGTGCTAAATTGGATGCGTGCGCGTGCTGCGGAGCTCCCTGATGGGTTACGTATTGGAGTACACGCTCAGGTAGGGGTGTGTGTGCGTGTGTGGGTACGTCGAGATGATTGGATTTAATTAATATGTGATTTTTGAAATCTAGAGGGCCGATCAGGCCTCGAGTGGATATTGATTTTGAGCCCCGAGTTGGTGTGTTGTTTTGTTGAAACGATCCTACCGAATTCGGGTATGCGTGTATACGTATATCCTACTGGTCGTTTGTTTTGTCGAGATGACGGATAAGCGATTTTTTTTATTATATGTCATTGATGGGAAGAATTTCAAAGCTGATTCTAAATTTACGGAAGTAAATTTTTTTTTTTTTTTCTAATAACTATTATAGATGACAATGGAAGCGCAGTCCACTGAACATCATTTTTTCACTTGGTTGTTGTTGATTGAAAATAACATATTTTACACACAGATCTAGTTATATCACTTCCATTTTTCTATCTGATCAGTGACGCGTCTTACCCAACTCGTCTGTTCCTACTTAAGACACTGTAGACTGTAGACTAGTAGTATAAAGTTAAAAATAATGATCCGTGTTGTTATAAACAAACATATTGGTGACTCATTACATTGAAGTTAATAATGTTGTCTTTAACTTTTTCGTTTATTGTTAAAAGCGTAGTTACGTATGTCAATTTTTCATGTATACTTCACTCAATCAGTAATCCCCTTGTTTGTGTTAAGTGAGTTTCTTTTGGATAATACCTTGTAAGTGTTTTGTGTTTGATAAAATTTCAGAGGAAATGTGCAAAAATGTTACTACTCCTACACATCTTTGAGCTTTGAAACAAAAAACAAAAAAATCCACGATAATCCATACTCGCAAGGGAACAAAAATTTCCGTACGAAAAACTCGAGTTTTGTAAGAAATTACTAAACATCCCGTTTCTTCGACCCACAAGCAATCGAATGCCTCCCCAATCCTCGCCATTACTCTTAAAGAGACGAAAAAAGACTATAGAGCAGGGCTCGAAGTGTTTTGCTCGAAAATTCCAAGAAAACTCGTCGACGCTATGTGTATACTGTTTACCGGCGTAACGAGCGTATACACGCGCACACAGGCGACGACCGCCGGGAAAAACTCCCGAGCGCGGAGCACAAGTTCACCGATGCGAACATTTTTTCAGGCCACTACAAAAGAAGGGAGGGGGGAGCGATAAGAAAACGCCGAGGCAAATTGAAGCGTCGAAAATGGAAAGATAAAGCTTCGCGCCTTGCCTCGCCCGTCTGACATGAAAAAAGACTGTACAACCCGAGTGAAGAGGAAGTCAGCCAGGCGCACGGGGGTAAACATCGAGCGACCGATAGATCAAGATTTTCCGAGGCAGGGAGCCATGCACGACGTATGGGGGCCTGGGAGTCTCGGTATTTTCGGCTCCTTCTTTCTTCCTCCTTCCCGACTCAGGTCGGGGATCGATGCAAACTCAATCCCAACTTCGTCGGAAATTTTCGCGCTTCATTGTACAAGTTTAAGGGGATATACAAAGGGCTTTCGTTTTTTTTTCTTTTATTTTATTTGTTTTTTTTTACCCCCCGGTGATTCCTATAAATCGTCCAAAAGTAAAGCGATAAGGAGAGCACGGTCTCTTTCGCTGTTTAAAGAGACAGATGGATTTGATGATGCTATTCATCGGGTGGGATTCCCTGCTCTTTTTGAGGGGAAGATTGCTCTGTTTGTCAAAGGCTCGTTTAATACCAATCAAACGTTTTTTCACGGTAAGGAAATTTTTTTTTCCAACTTCCCCAACCACGGGCAGCTTCTCGTTTAGGCAACACACGGGATTCGGCAATCATGGTCGGCGACAAAAGTTTTTGATCGAAAAAGTTCTTTATTGCAGTGCTTCGTCTCATTGGGATGAAAGAGCACCGTACGGCACTCTGAGTTTATTCAAATGGGGCCCGAGGTGAGTTGCCGACGATAGGAAAATAAATTATTCACAACATCGTACCCTACTAGCGAGCAAGACAATGCCATGATTTAGATATGAGAGTCGTGGAAATGCCTGCACTCGAAGTTGGACTTTTTCTCGAGTCCGGTTACATTCTGCTTTTTACCGAGTAAATAATACAACCAAGCGGTTTTGGCGAGGGAGGAATCGAAATCCTTGGAATCTTCTTACTTGTCACGTCCCTACCTTGCCCTCATGCACCTCCGCAGTTGCATAAATGACGAGTGGATGCCTACATAAGCCACGACGAGACTCAATCTCGGTGACAAAAGAAACATCTAATGCCCAATCGAAGCGAGGGTGAAAAATAGAATGTCACAAGCACCTTCCTTGTGTAAGCAGAGACCCACTTCCGAGGAGGGTGAGAGCCGAGGATAACAAGCAGTGGTAGCACTCAAAAACCAATAAACTCGAATTGATTCGCCGTGTACGGTATACCCACCTGCTTGCAAATAAGCTTCCGTCCTGCATCTCGGCACCGGATGGCTTTCGGGAAAGGCCTCTACTCGCTCCAGTTTGCGTCGAGGCCGTTACTCCCTTTCAATGGACACTCGGTGCTTATAACTCCTGGTGTGTGCCACACAAATCCACCGGCTCGACGACGCAAAGGTGCCAAACCGCTCTATGACGGAACTCCGTCGCGTGCACGGAGACCAGGACAAAGGGGGAGGTAAAGGAATTTGTTTTGGCTCGGACAGCACGAAAGCGTTGGGTATACTATCGTCAACGTGCACGTGTACGCGTATCGTTGGGTTACAAATGAGCTTTCGTGTCCAACGTGTGTGCGGGGGACACTAGGTGTTCTACTGGGAAGTATTCGACGGGGCGAGAGTGTGCGATCGAATAATTGAGCGGTCCGTTAGGTGCAGGTACAAAGTCCTTTTTCTCTCCCTAGTGGCTGTGTATACCTGTTTCAAGTGACTTTGTAGCTATCTTGGAGATGGTTTGTTGGACTTGAGAAAGTCGCTTGGTCGGCATTGCCAGTATTATATATCGCGACCTTATCTACCATTGCAGTTTTTGTTGGTCAATAACAAAGGAAATGCAAATAATAATCATCAAAGGGATGTTTAATTAATCACTAGGCCGCAATTAAGGTAATTGAAAACAAACCGCGGCTCGTTTGACGCCAAGACCATAAATTCATGTCCGACTGTACTCGATCTGTACTACTTAACTCCATTCTTCAGCTCGCGTGTAATTTAATTGAACGCAACGACACGTTGCTCATTAGTTGATTGAACGAGCTTTAGTCGTGGACACGCTTTTATTAAACTTGTTGATATAAATTTTAATTAACGCATGGTAATGATAAATGAAAATAAGGGGCAGCAATAGGTCTCCGTAGGTTCATCTGAATAATTACACCGAGTTATCAGTATCTTTGCATCATCCAAATAACTCTTCGGGCCCTTGAGTCTTCAAAATAGAGAAACACTCGATGTACAAGTGATCTCGATACCGAGCAGCATCTCACCAATAATCCTCGAATCACCTGCATTAGGAGTAAAGATCGAGTTCCAGGAGCACGAGAAGCTACTCTCAGCTCGCGTAATCGTCCAATATTGAATTGTCTGATCCCTGCATCCCTCGCCCTCCCCCCAAGAGCCACGCACTCCAGAGACTGCGGCGCACAGCGAGCTGGCAGGTATCGATTCTGCGAAAAAGACGCTCACGCTTGCCCGGCACGTCCACTCGAGCGTGCTCGGCTCTCGCTAATCAATTCAAGATTCCGGCTTATTATATGTATTTTTTCTTGCGGAAACATTTATATATATATATCATAGCCACTTGCGTGTAATTAACCAATATTACTCATGGGTTTTTGACCTATAACGAGCAGTCGATACAAAATAGCTAAAGATTCGGCTCTACACCACATTTTGAAGGATTCCTCGAACACCAGCTTCGCTGCGGTGATTAATCGATCAGCACCCAAGCGGTGATGTGATTAATTATTGCGCACCACGCGGCCTGATCAATTAGTCATTTATTGCAAAGTGAGTTCGGAAAATGTACCTCTACCGGGGCTCCACCAGTACATGCTTCAGTCAGTGATTAATCGAGCCAGCCTCGATTCGCCATTGGCTTACATTTTCAAAATTACAATGAGATACTTCCAAGTAGTCGTAAAATTTTAAAACACTCGGAAACTCCCGAGTTTGGGAAAATCAATGCACGCGTCGCATCCATTCGTGTCACAAGCAACGACGGCTTGATGTACATTATATGTCAAATTAAAGCATGCATGTAGATAATCGAGTGCCACACTCACCGCCATCTCGGAGCTCGGGTGGTCGATGAAGGTCAGCTCGGACTCCTCGCCGTTGAGCAGTATGTTGACCGTCTTCTCGCCCGACTCGTCGTCTGAAAAACCACAAGAAAACCCGACAAATATACACCTCTGTCTTGATGATTCACATCCCACATACATATTTGTATGTATAATAAGCCACGTCTAGTTTTTGCAAAAAAAAACTGCGAGACAGGGAAAGAGAAAGAGCAGGTGGGCAAACGATGACAAATCGCCGTGACAAAATCCTCGAGTTCTTCGTAATGGTATATACAGATAGTGCCGGGGAACACACATCGATGGCTTTGATTTTCGCGCTCCATACTCTGCCTTTCGCGTATGTTGTGTACACCCCTCCTCCACCCCACGATTCCATGCATGTGAAAATCGGGGTTAACTCGAGCTATAAATCATCACGGGGCACTTCCGGCGGCCTCCTCCCCTCGCGCGTTTCCTTCTTTCTGCTTCTCTGTAGCATACGTCGCGTATACGAGTACAGGTATACGAGCACACTTGCTTCGGAAGAGAAGGACAAGTGAAAATTCCGTGGCGATCCTTGCGCCAACCTGCGCCGATGGCACGTGGTTTACGGCGTCGTGTGTTATACGCGTGTGCGCATAGGCATCGGGCTTTATTGGTAGTAAAACTTGGTTTTACGCGACGCTTCTTTCTCTCGTGCTGTTGTAGGTTACGTGCAATGGCTCGCTCTTTCGGGAGTCCGAGAGGATGCCGTGTGGATGGCTACAACGTGTGCGCCGTAAATCCACTGCGTTTACGTTATTGCCGCGTTGTGCTCGTATTTCTCTCCATCTCCCTCTCTCTTCGACTTGATACCTGTGTTTTATGTGTCCAATGGTACGCTGATTTATTTTTTACTCATTGAAATTACGTGGGTATTTTTTTCTTAAGATTTAAGAAGATGGGTATTGCACGCAGATGAATTATTTTTCAATATTACGCGGTACAAAGGTCCAGTCTTTCAAAGATCTGTCAATTGTAACTACAATCGCAAATAGAGGCAGGTGTAAGACGAAAATGGCCATTTCAAAGGTTTTCGTTGAAAAAAAAAATAATTCATCCATTTGAAAAAACTTCCAAGTAGAATTTTTTCATTTTTTAATGAGATGTATGTTGAAGAAAGAAATTTTATTGAATAATGGTATAGGATTGACCAAATATTGGAGAAAAAAGTAGCTTCTAGATCAGAAAATCGAGACGAGTATGAAGAAAAAAAAGAATAAATAAAAAAAACAGACGAGACGAATACAGTGTGCAATCCCAGGTGAATTGGAAACAGTTACGCGGCGTCGGAGATACATAAAAAATTTTTATTGAACAGAGTCTCGTTCTATTTTTGTACAATACATTTGTTATTGCTGTACATCGTAAAAAAATTGTCTATTACTGTTTTTCACTTTAGTACACATGAAAAATATTATTATTGTGACAAAGTCCCTTTTATTTTTCCAAGCTTTTATTTCGCCTGGATTGCCGTCCATCTATTCGTTCACGTCAGTGGTAATCGATTTTTTTTTACCGCTTCCAATATCCAACGTTGAAATTCAATGACTCCTTTGGTTTCAAAGACAATGCAGCACGAGGCGTATTCAATTTTATGATGGATCTAATGTATTGGCCACCAAACAAAATGTCGAATCATTTTTTTCTTTACAATTTCGTCGCATGTATCAAATTACATGAAAAATAGAATGCAACAAAGATCCGTGAGGTCATTCTATCAAAAATCAGATTGATCATGACTCAACAAGCTCTATTGGATATGTATTTGACAAGTAAAATCCGAGCAGCTAGTTTTTCAGAAATTGAGTTTCTTTAACGTTTTTTTAGAAATATTTTGTAGAAATCTCCGCTAAAGGTGTTTCATCTGAATAGAACTCATCAAGTTACCACTTAACGATAACGTTCGAGTTCTTCTACACCCAAAAGCAACAGGAAACCTAATCACATTGGTTTATCTTCTTAACCACCCAGGGCAAACGAGAAAGAAATCGCGTCACGACAAGTTTTCCTTTACAAGCAACTACGAAGCACGTGCCGCATCGTATACCCTTCTGGATGACGAAAAAAAGTCAGCAAATATTTCCGGCCTTGCTTCATAAACTACATCCAATAACAATGAAACTTATCAGAAGCAGCTGAGAGACACTTACGTCAATTCTTCCTTATGGGAAGCTACAGCCCGTGGCTCGATGCGCGATACACGTATTATATCGATCAAAAGCAAAGTTGGTCAAAGTAGGGGAAGTTGCCGAGTCATTATTTCTCTCGGCCTCGCTCGAGATTGTGCCTCCGACATCGCAGGCGTGCGTCAGATAAACTCCGTATATTATCTTCCAGACCATAAAACAAACAAACGCACATGCGACGAGGAAGTGGATAGGCAGGGGTGAAATGAAGAAGGGCGAGGAACATGGGGAGCTGTGGATGCGTGTGCGAGTTCATCAACCGGCAGGGTCAGCGTGGAGTCTCTGTTTGGTTTCGGTAGAACTGTACACTAAGAAAAAAAAAAAAAAAAAAGTTATGAAGGTGACTGTGTTGGCATTGTAAACGGATGGCACTCCATCATCTAAGTATTTTATACTTTTGGCTACTTAATGTGGGGAAAAAAAACTTTCAAAACAGTGCTCCTTACGTAGCTCTTTTTACAACTTTTTTCTCAGTGATGGTGATCATTCAGCGCAAGCCAAACAACTTTATTTATATGCAGGGACGATGTGTAAGTGACAACGAATTCAAGTAACTACTGGATTTTGATTTAAAGTAAGGGTAGGATTTGATTTTTAAAGTTTTCAACTTGGAGAGGCGATCTTGGAAGTTTTAAACGAGTTAAAGCGTCTTGGAACGTAGACGCTGAGAAAATAATTTCACCGGACGCGTGGACACATTACAATGGTGGGGTGCAGAGGGAAATCGATAAAATTAGATTACGTGGAGTATACTTTAGTCGAATAATATTCTGTGATTGACTTTCACTCACTGAATTAGAAACTTTACGTTTTATCATTTCGGTTTTAGTTGCTGCATTTTCAGCTTGATACATAATGGATGTGTACATGAAATTTTCAGAACAAATGATCGTTAAAAATGTTTTCACAAAACCAATGGATTAAAATATAATTTATTTAGTGAAAAATGCATCAAATTTTTGTAAACACATTGTGGAAAACTAATCAACTCGAAATCTAGGAATCGGTATGAAAAGTACAAAAAAAAAAAAAAATTAAAATTAAAAAAAAAAGAAGCTTACCGACGGACGTGTCGTAGGCGTGAAGATACTCGGAAGTCATGAACTGCGAGACGAGAGAGCTCTTCCCAACAGCCGAAGCTCCAAGCATGAGCACCCGGTACGGCGCCGGGCCCTGGGACGCGCTGCTCTCCCGCGAACTGGCTAACGAACCAGCCGCCGAGTTGCGCGCCGAGCCCGGATACGAGGCGGTCAGGTGCTCCGTGCTGAAATCACACATGTTGCGTTTACACGTGTAGGATAGGTACTACACACAATTCGTTGATTTTGTTTCGTGATATACACTGGGGATATATATGTATGTATATATATGTTGCTTTGGATCTAATTGGAGCGCGTAATCTTGCCGATGTTTGATTTGCAAGCCATACCCACTGATTGCGCGCACGGCTGTACTGTTTGAACACGCTTGTGTTGGGTGGACCGAGCTCAAAGTCAGCCGGAAATTGAAGGTAATCGCAATAAATTCCAACTCCGTGGGTTCTCGGGCTCTTTGCTTCTTTTTAAAATTAATCCAATTGATTCCCAGTACTGCCAAGAAAGAGCGATCCGTGTACCATTTCTTGCGCACCCCAACATTTTTTGCCGGGCTTGTTCTAACGAGACTACAATTTTCGAGCCAACGCATCGGAGTAACAAGGCAGGAAGAAAAGGGAAGTTCATCGTACCGGTAAAAAGAGGACGTCGGGTAGGGTGATACTCGAGACCTCCCCCCCCCTTTCCACCCCATAGTCGATTATCCTGAGAGTGCACGTCGACGGTGATGCCTCTGGTCCCTGGAGGTAAAGAAATTGTCCAGTCCCCTCTGGTCGCTCACCTCACCAACTACCATGGACCATATCTGTCGAGCGTTCAACTTTCGCATCGCGATGTTCGTCCATTTTATCGGTGCTCTTGGCACTGTCTGTGTGCCCAGTCGAATACGCAGGGAGGAAAAAGCAAGGGATCGCGTGGTTATAACGTCGGGGTAGTTGACGTGCTCCCCTTTTTCACATTGGCTATGATTTTAGAAAATAAACGTACCTCAATTTTTCACTCTACTACGTTCATCCCGACTCCTTGAGATGTTGAAAAAAAAAAAAAAAAAAAAAAAAACCCATCTTCGCCATATATTCTGCAATGGTATACACACAGGGAGCGCATCGTTCATCAATCCAACAGAGCTATTCGACGTAGACAAAAGAAAAAAAAAGATAAGAAAAGCGAGGTGAAAGAGAGGCGGAATCTCCCGTGCCTCCTGTCCTTGGGCGAGCGATTCTATCGTCCCTAAGGGCACGTACGCGCGTCATAACTCTCGATTCGAGTCAAGTATACAAGTAGCAGACAAGGTGTGCTCCCCCAACTCCTCAAAAGCCCCCAGGGCGTCGTGTATACACATACAACTCCACCTCTGGTAAATTATCCACAAATCAAGTAGCTCCGATGCCTATGTGTCTATATAGGGTATACACCTGTAGTATACGCAATTCCGGCGTACATCGGTATAGTATCGCAGCTGACGTCTGTTTACGCGCAGTTCCTGTCGCACGGTTTAACCGCAGCCATTGTCAACTGCCATCACAACAACGACGACGACGTACGGTTGAGCCGCAAAACGCGCCATTGCTCCCCTTTACTCGGCTGGATTGATCTCGCAGCGGCTTATGCACGCTGATGCGGGGGTATTACGCGTCACCTGAGACGCGGGGCTTTCGTTGTTCAGTCCGACGAGATGGACGCTGTTTCCCGGGAGGGTACGACGTTTTTTTCCTTCCTTTTTTCATTCCCTCACACGATGGGGCTTTTTTTCGGACGGGCGATGTGCGTCGGCTCTTTTTCAGCACCCACGTTGGGGAGCTGATCCTACAGTGAAAAGCGTAATGTGGAAACACCACTGCTCCGTTGCTATTATTTACGAGTAAGCACAATACGTAGTTGGGACCCATTACTTTTTATCGTCGAGGATTAACAGGATATCGCTATGCTCGAAATGAATGATGAATCGGTGCGTAATTGCGTGGTGGGAAGAGTATACCACGGGTAAAAAGATAACAGAGGGCGAAGTGGTGATTTGGATACCAGCACGAGGAAAAAAGGTACGGCCGATGAATTCGCCATTCATCTCCGATCGCATTGGCTAGCGTTCTTAATTTATGCGTGTGCCCACCTCCCTGCCACCCCTAGGTTATACCCTACGTATATTTTACGCGTTAGCTTTGCATTTTCGATAATCATACACGAGCGCAAAAATCCCGAATAAAGAGACAAAGAGCCATTAATCTGGGTCGTGGATGTTCTTATCTGTGAAACATAAATGCTCGAATATAGCATACATTGTACATATATACATGGTAGCTACGCGATCGATACGACAATACCTTGATTCCCGTATCTTTTTTTTCTTTCGGGTACGCTCGCATGCAAATGTACCTACGTAAAAGTACGAAAAAACCGAGCCGCACAATTGGGAATTTTCGTGGATAAGGTATAATGCAGTCGCGCATGCGAAAGAGCAAATGGGGGAAAGCCAGCAGGGCCGTCCGGCAATTTCCTCTAAGGACTCTCGAGTGGGAGAGTGGACGATTTTTACCCTCCGGATCTGTTTTTTCGAGCGCGTGGGAGTATATTTATGCTTTGACAATGGAATTTTTTACATTGCTACAACTATGGGTACGTTTTATTGAAAGAATTATTACTTAAACTGTGTTCGATAGTTAGCTTCAGTAAACAATGTCTACATTATTCATTAATTAACTTTTGAAGTTTTTGTAACGTTATCAATTATTATTAAACATTTACTTTGTCAAATTAAATTATCATACTACTCAATATTATTGTTTTGTACACTAAATACTTGTGCTGTTCGTTGTCAAAATAAAAATAAAAATGTGTTACGCGTACCTGTGAAAATTGAAAAACCTTTCACTGGAATCGATTGCAAAAGAATACAATTTGATAAAAATACCTACACGAGAGTGCCTCCCCCCCTGAAAAACCAACAAGCCGGTTCCGCTGAAAAGTGTCATCCTCAAAGGCTTTTTTTTCGCCCAAGAGAAAGAAAACAAAGGTAACACGAGCTCGAGAAAACTCAACGAACCGCTCATAATTTCGTTATGATGAAAATAGTGGGGTGGGCGGCCAGATGAAGGGTGTTGGTGTGCGCGCGAGTGTACATTGAACGTTGGAGCGTGAAATGATCAGCTGGCTGATTGATCGAGCGGCCGAGATTTTTCGCGCACGCTACGTTACGTCTGAAAAAGAGGCTTTTGGAAAGATTATATCAAGATAAACAAGGGTGGGTGGGGGATGGATTGTTAGCAAAGAAGGGAGGCAATGTATATGTCCAAGTGAAATAGTTAAACAGTCTGCCAAACAATTTACCACGATAACTAGAGGATACGAGGAGAAGAATAGTATCGATGGCTTGATAAAACGAATATGGCGAATTATATATTATAGGAAAAGAAATCTCTTTGCAAAGAACAATGTTTTTTTTCATGATGTTGCATTGATAGGATGACTACTTTGTTTAAAATGGGAATAAATGTAAACGACACCAGTTCAATACTTTTTAAACGTTCAATTGCTCTATAAAGGTGTAATAAGTTGGTAGGTTTGCCAGACGAAGAGCATTCTCTGCATATGTTGTCTTTTTTACTGCAATATTGAATAAACTCCTTTTTTTTTACTGAGCTATCTGTACGATAATCCGACACAGCTAAGCCAGAAGTGACTTGTTTCATCCAATTCAAGATAATTATTTATACACAGATTGTTCAAGTTACTACTTTTTTGGCACCAAATGGAACTATTACATTATATTTCCCAAGAAAATTGATGGACTTGGAACAACACGTGTGTTTAAAAATTTACTCGTACCACCCTCTTAGAGTATGCTGTTTACTGCTGAACCATGTCTCAAATGGGTCGATCCCGTCCATGAGATTCAGTAATCAAATCGACGTACAGAGATACACTTTGTTAGAAGCAATAGTTTACTGATTCACGAACCTCAAGCTATGCATTTTTTTTTTTTTTTTATAAAAGATTCAATTACGGTACTGTGCCGAGTTCCGCAAAGGACCCTCTCCATAGAAACTCCTACGAAAAATTAGAAACACGAGAGCCTGTCTCTGTAATCGAGTTTCCCAGAGCTCGTTTTGACAAAGTAATGGCCAAAGTTACCCCCAAAGAGCAGCAGTGAGCGTAGAGTAATCTTCGAGTTTGATCCTGTTGTCGGCGCAGTTCCCCCCGAAGCCGAGGACAGTGCTCTAAAGTCAAACACGTGTGTCTACGTAAATCATCACCACACGTAAACTCACGCGTTCGATCTAGAGCAACAGTCGCGTTCATTCATCCTCGGAAGTTGCCGTTGTTTGTAGTTCTAGTTGTTGCTCCAGTGTGACTTCACTCGCACGACCACACCTCTTGCTCGTGATTACATTTGGATTAATACAGAGGATTAGATGTCGTTACAGGTGATACAGTCGTTGCGAAAGAGTTTTTTTTTTTTTTAGTTTTTAGCCAATTCATCGCTTGAACACAATTTTAGTAGTTAATTATAAGTATAATAAAAGTTTTTTTTTTCAAACTAACTTCAACGTTTATCTAAATCCCCAGTCAATGCTGTTTTTCAAAGCATGCCTTGTGAATAGATAAATTTTTTCATACATTGCAATGTAAGAGCGACCTTTTGAACATTGAATACGCGTACATTTCACAGGGTTGTTCATTTGTTTTTTTATAATAAACAACGTTTTGAGCATTAAAAAAAAAAAAAAAAAAAAAAAACTTTCACATCCATCTCATACCGTACGATAAAACGTAATTAAAATAATAAAGTTGAAAGAGCACTTCTGGGAATCGCCCAACATTTTAAAAGAGCTACTGCGCAAGTGAACGCACGTACATATTTACGGGCACTAGAGTGAAAGAGATGAATTTGTAAAAAAAAAAAGAAAAAAAGAAATTTCCTCCTGATGAGCTTTTAAGGTGCATCCTGGCCACAATTCGTATGCCATCCTGCATATTTATGCGTGCTAGAGCCCATGAATATGCGCGACCGATAATGTTTTCACGCACATATTTTACTTTGTCAAAAGCTTCATGCTCACACACTGTATACGTAAGCTTTATACCGACACGCTGAGTACACTACCGTCTTCTTGCGATGGTAATGCAATATTTCCATCAAAATAATTGATTCAGCGCACGTACTCCCGCTCCC